GGAACCAGCCTTGTCTTCCCACAAGGTAGAAATTAAAGGTCGTTCACTCAGTGGCCTAAATGATCTCTTACAAGCTGCCCAGGTGAATAAAGCCCTTCTGGGGTGGGGGGGACTGCTCTCACCACAGTGGGAGCCCCAGACCTCTGCCCCTAACTCTACCTGGGCCACATTTCCAGCTGACCCGGCGGCAGCCAGTGCTCACTCAGAACAAGGCTCCAGGTGGTTCCTTACACTGACCGGTTATGGTGGGGCAGGAGCATGTTTGCTCTCCTTGGCTGAGCAGAAGCAGGGTTCTGGAAGAGCTGTGGCCACACCTTGGTGCTCAGGGATGGGCAGACCCCCAAGGAGGTAGTGGATCATGAGGCTGGGGACTCGAGGTCTGGCCAGTGTCACAAGTAGTTATTGGGGAGAGCGCAGGCATGCAGCTTGACCTCGTAAGCCTGTGGAGAACCAATCCAGTGACAGTGGCAGCCCCCAGGTCTGCCGTGGGGCACAGATTGTAGTGGCACCTGCATGCAGAGGCAGTGAGTATGTTCCCCAAGTGCCCTGCCTACAGCATGGTCCTGGGGCCTTTGCAGCCCCTTTCAGATTCAGATGTGGGAGAGCAATGCCACCCCCTTGGCCCAGGAATAGCCGGAGAATTCCTATTCCAGTTCCTAGGGAGAAAAGACTGGAGAGGCCCTTGGGGGACTCTGTCAGGGCTCTCTGTCACCATTGTGCCTGCTCTCCATGGTGAGAGCAACACACACACACACACACCCCGGAAGAAAGCCTTTATGCACCAGGATGATCCCATCCCCGACCTCAAACAGAAGCAGCTGGGCACAGTGGGCCACAGGGCTGCAGGTGCAGACCACAGTGGGTGGACCCAGCTCCCGCACTGGGCTCTGTCTGCCCCTGGGGTGTGTGCGTGTCCCCTCCCTACCCATGGCTCCTGCACTGCCCTGGGAAGAGGTGTGCAAGGATTCCAGCGGGGGCAGGCAGCCACGGTGCCTGCTCTGCACACCCTTGGGGAGCACAGTACACTTTCTGGAAGGTGGGGGAGCCCCTGTCCCCATGGTGGGAGCACACGGATTGCCAGCCTGGCCGTTGAGGCGGGTGGAGAAAACTTCCTCAAGTGAGGGGAGGGACCTTCGGGGACGTGAAGTTGTGGCCTTTGCAGCTCTTCCCTTTCTTTCTGCGTCCCCCCACCCCCCAC